CATTTACAAGGCTCCTCTGAGATGAGAGCTCAAAGCCTGCACTGGAGTGAGGACCCCAGCCCCTACTGCATGAAGAAAGGTGCTATATAAACCAGCAAACCAAATTCAGCCGACACAAAGACTACCCCATCAGGCACGCAAAGCTTTAACACTAGAAAAAGCAACTGTCACAGAACCTCCTGCTATCTTGAATGCCATCTGCAAAGGAAAGTGCACATTAGGACCACAGTAGGTCTCTCCTCCCTGGAGTCCTCCATGTCTACTGCTTTATTATCTTTGTTTTTCCAGGTCCAGGTCTACTCTGCAGGTGGGCAGTGCACTGCAGTCTGTCTTAATTGTCCAGGTCCAGCTCTACTCTGCAGGTGGACACTGCAGTGCACTGCAGTCTGTCTTAGTTGTCCAGGTCCAGGTCTACTCTGCAGGTGGACACTGCATTGCAGTCTGTCTTAGTTAGGGTCACTACTGCTGTGACAAAACACCATGACCAAAATCAACTTGGAAAGGAAAGGGTTTATTTCACTCACAGTTCCATATAACAGTTCATTATCAAAAGCAGTGAGGGCAGGAACGTGGAGGCAGGAGCTGATGCAGATGCCACAGAGGGATGCTGTTTATGGGCTGGGCCCTCCCCCATCAATCACTAATTAAGAAAATGTCCTACAAGCTTGCCTACAGCCTGATCTTAATTGCGGTCCCCCCCCCCCATTTGACTTTAGCTTGTATCAAGGTGACATAAAACTATCCAGCACACTGTCTAAAGATCTTATTGGTGGTTTTTTCCAACTCCCATACCTCCTAAGAACTAGGCACCCTAGAGGTACTGTCTTCAAGGGGCCCAGTCTCCAGCTACAGGCTGTGTAAACTCCTTCTGTGTTCTCTAGAGGTGGAGGAAGTGGTGGCTACAGTAATACAGTAAGGTTTTGCAGGAATCCACATTTGGTGTGGGGGTGGGGCAGCCTGTTTTTCCTGCATTGCTACCTTCAGACACTAAGAAACACAAATGACCATATGAAGCCCTGCCTCCACAGTCACCTGTGTGTGCTAAGTAGTCCGTACCCCTGGCACCACAGGGACCCACACAGGAAATGCCAGTCATTACTAGACACAAGACTCCATTGATGCTTCAGCAACAACACATCGCAGGGCATGGTTTTCAAAAATGCAGAGGTGGCTTCATCAAGCGCCCCATCTGTGTCTGTGTGCAGTATTTCAAGTTGTCCTTTGCTACCTCTAAAAGTGATCAAAATGGCCTGTTCTTTGAAAACTCAGGCCCAAAGGTCTGGAATGGCAGGTGGCAGTGGCGCACACCTTTAATCCCAGCTCTTAGGAGGCAGAGGCAGTCAGATCTCTGTGAGTTCAAGGCCAGCCTGGTCTACAGAGCAAGATCCAGGACAGGCACAGAGAAACCCTGTCTCAAAAAACCAAAAACACAAAAATAAAAAAATAAAAGGTCCAGAATGTTCTCCTATTGCAGAAAAGTTTAAACCACAATAAACAATCCTCAGAATAGAAAAAGGAAGGCTTTCTGTTGTTGTTGTTAGGGTTTCTCTGTGTAGCTCTGGCTGTCCTGGAGCTCACTCTGTAGACCAGGCTGACCTTGAACTCAGAGATCCACACAATCTCTGTCTCCCAAATGCTGGGAATAAAGGCACACACCACCACTGATCACCAACATTTTATGAAGCTAAAAGTGACTTTTTTGTCTTGAGAAAGAGTTTCATATAGCCTCAGAATTGTATGTAGCTGAGGCTAGCTTTTAACTGTTTCTCCCCCTTTAGATTCCCGAGTGATAGGATTATCTGCATGAACCACTATACCTGGCAGACTAATTTTTTTGAGGAATGCCACAGCAGTAAATACATATCATGTCAGGAAGCCATGGCTCCTGTAGTAGACAACAGGCCTGCTGAGTATATAATTATTCAGTTTTTTCTTTTGTAAATGATGTAAATGGTGTGAAAGTCCTATATCTTATCAAACTTTTACCCCTTGGGCTGGAGAGATGGCTTGGTGATTAAGAATACTTAGCTGTGCTGGGCGATGGTGGCACACGCCTTTAATCCCAGCACTCGGGAGGCAGAGGCAGGCAGATCTCTGTGAGTTCGAGGCCAGCCCGGTCTCCAAAGCGAGTTCCAGGATAGGCGCAAAGCTACACAGAGAAACCCTGTCTCGAAAAACAAACAAAACAAAACAAAAAAAAAAAAAAAAAAAAAAAAAAGAATACTTAAGCTGCTCTTCCAGAAGACCTAAGTTCAATTCCTAGCACCCAAAAGGGGGCTGCAGTAGTTTGAATGTAACAGGCCCCCATAAGCTCACAGGGAATGGCACTATTGGGAGGTGTGGCTTTGTTAGAGTAGTTATGGCTCTGATGGAGGAAGTGTCACTGTAGAGGAGGTCTTTGAGGTAACACACACACACACACACACACACACACACACACACACACCCGCATGCGTGCACGCGCCCAGTATCTGAGTCCAATTCCTGTCACCTGAGCAAGATGTAGAACTTTCAACTACCTCTCCAGCACCACGTCTGCCTGCTTGCCGCCATGTCCCACCATGATGATAATGGACTGAATCTCTGAACATTTAATAGCTACCCTATTAAATGTTTTCCTTTATAAGAGTTGCTGTGATCATGGTGTCTCTTATAGCAATAGAGACTGTAAGACAGGGGCTGACTACCATCTATAACTCCAGTTCAAGAGGAGCCAACACACTATTCTAGTCTCTGCATTTACACACAGATAAAACACCTATGCACATAAAATAAAAATCTTTAAAAATAAATAAATAATAATAAACATTAAAAATTCACCCCCTGGCAGGGTATGGTGATGTAAGCCTTTAATCCCAGCACTCAAGTGGCAGAGGCAGGTGGATCTCTGTCTGAGTTTAAGGCTGGCCTCGTCCACAGAGTGAGTTCCAGGACAGCCAGGGCTACACAGAGAAACTCCTGTCAAAAAACAACAACAAAAAACCCAAAACAAAACAACAACAAAATTCCCCCTTAATGATATAGCTCAGTCCCTAGAGCTGCATAACCCTGCCTGGTGGACACCTTAGGGTACTGGGAAGATAGAGACAGAGATGAGGAGGTCAAGGTCATCCTCAGCTACACAGAAAGTCTGAGGTCAACCTGGGATACACAAGACTGTGTCAAAGACAAAACTCAAAAGCAACGAATACAAAGAAACCAGAAATGAAGTTCTGTTAGGTACCAACATATGGGTCTCCTTAAAGCAAGACAGCTAAAGAAAGATATGCAGAATAAGCTAGTATAACATTTATTTAATTGAAAAGCTTTGTTTGCAATGTTCCTTTTTGAAAATGTTTGTTTTTGATTGTTCAAGATTGGTTTTTGTTTGTTTGTTTGTTTTGTTTTTTTGTGTAGATCTTGCTCTGTTGACCAGGCTCACCCCAAACTCAGAGAACCTTCTGCTTCTGCCTCCCAAATACTGGGATTAAAGGCAGTTGCCATGCCCAGCTGCAATGTTACTTTTTAGACTTGTTTTTTACAAAGTGTCTTTGCAAGGCAACAATCTATCTTACAATCATTTCATAGCTCAAGAGACAAGAAAGTATTAACACATAAATTGCCCTTAGGCAAAACTGCTTTCTTTTGTGCCACTTAGTATTTACCATAATGGGACAGTTAGAGCCTAAACACAGCACAGGTAGTCGATGGAGAATTGGGCAGGTTCTGGAGCGCTCCCAGCCACGGTCATCCCCACAGCTGCTTTCCAACGGGTGAACAGCACAGGTGTGCCATCTGGACTCAGACCCTGGGTTAGATTTACTTTTTGTTTTGTTTTATTTGAGATAGGGTCTCGGTCTCGCTTTGTAGCACTGGCTCCCCTGAAGTTGCTACACAGAGCAGCCTGCCTTGTGAGTTAAAGGCGTGCAGCCACCACACCCCAGCAAGACTCTTCAAAGATTTCTCCTTGTTGATCTTTTTTTCCAACATTAGTTCACCAAATTGGCTGGGGAAGGTCAGGCAAGATGGCTCAGAGGGTAGAAGCATCTCATGTGAAAGCCTAAGTTCCACTCCCAGAACCTACCATGGAAGGAGTGAAAGTTCTCCAGAAAGTTGTCCTCCCAACTCCACAGCATACATATCACACACAATTTCTTAAAAAGTAAATGAATGAATGCTAGGGTAAACTCTCACCCTGAGAAAATTCTTAGCCGAGTTACATTTTTCCCTCCCAAAGCATGTTCAGACACCTATTTTGTTTTTTCTGCCCAAGGACTATAAAGTTCTATTTTCTAGAGAGAGTGAAGGCTTGTTTGTTTCTTGTGCCAGGGAACTGAGCCAGAGGTTGGAAGCCTAGGTAACAAATCTAAACTGTGGACTAGACAGAACTTCAAAGCCATAGCTATAATAGAGGTGTTAAGAGACACAGCATGACAGAAATGAAAATTCACACAGCAACCACATTTTGCAATTCTTAATTATCTCCTTTTTTTTTCTATCCTCCCTTAATTATTGCCTAAACACAGCTCTCCAGTCTCTGTCATTAGCCTGATGGCAAATGAAGTGTTAGCAGCCATGTGCCCTGTTTAATGTTTTATCTGAAGCCGTCCTTAGTCAACATTTTCATCTGACTGATAGACTCAAGACCTAGGCCTCCGTCAAACAAAACATCCACTCCCCATGAAGTGTAACTGGTTAAAAACAAAACAAAAGAACGACAACAACAACAACAAAACTGCTGCCGTTCTTTATCGTTGCAGACACACACTGGATCTTTGACGTTGCGTGCACATTTGCAAACAACGTGAAGTCTACAAAAGCGGGAGCCACCGCTTTAAGATGAACACTAATCTTAAGGAAGCAACAATGAGAAAATACACACTTCAAGAGTTGATTAAATACAAATAGCAATTAACTTCGGGAATAAGCAAGGTTCGCACTCTCCATAGCGGGTCCATGATCATCGTGAGGGATGCTCAGCGGCCTCCCTCCCGACCAGCGTCCCCGGGCGTCCCGCTTACCCGGCTGGACGCAGCGTCCCTGCGCTCCGTACCGCGTTCACGGGCCAGCCGACCAACGCCGCCGGAGAAGGAACGGCAGAGAGGCGGGCGGAGCGCTCTGCTTCCGGGCCGCAGGGCCGCCATGGCCGGCGCGCCCTAGATGTCGCGACGCACGGCAGAATCGCGGCAGGGGAAAGGTCGGCTTTACGGCCAGCGTCGCAAAGGCTGCGGCGACGCGCGGCGAGGCCGACCGTGCACATTCCCGGAGAGACCGCGGCGGCGGCGGCGGCGGCTCTCGCACCGGACGAGGCGACGCCAAGTGTTCCCCGGGCTCGGAGCTGCGTGGCCGGCTCTGCGAGGGCGGTGACAACGCTGCGGAAGCGGAGGAGAAGGGGCGCGATGGCGCGAGCGGCCCAGGTGAGCGCGGCGCGGGGGCGCGAGCTTCG